AAGGGCCAATACTTTGGATGGATCTGGGGGCTGATGCATCACTCACTTGGTTAATCCCCCACCTGTGGCATTGGCATCCCGTATGGGCACTGGGTTCTAGTCCCGGTTGCTCCTCTTCCAGTCCAGCTCTCTGCTGTGGCCCGGGAAGGCAGAGGAGGATGACCCAGGTGCTTGGGCCCCTGCACCTGCATGGGAGACCAGGAAGAAACACCTGACTCCTGGCTTCGGATCGGCGCAGCTCTGGCTGTTGCGGCTATTTGGGGAGTGAACCAATTAAAGGAAGACTTTCTCTCTCTCTCTCTGTCTATATCTCTACCTGTCAAATAAAAAAAAAATGGATATGACCCCAGACTCTATTTCCCCCTGCTGCCAAATATGTTACCAGTCACTGATATGAATATTTTATCTGAAAACATTATCAAACTAGAATAATATTTATGAATCAATATTTAACACAAGTTTTAGTGATTCCTTTTCTCAGTATGTATTTATTGAGTGTTTGCTGTGATTTCTTCCTCATTGTATTTACGTGCTAGGAATATGGTAGTGATTTGTGAAATTATTTCCTTTTGGGGCTTGGGACTCCACAGCAAAGCTGTGTACTGGAATTTTCTATGACGATGGACATATTCCATATCTATGCTGCCCAACATGGTAGCCTCTTGCCACACAGAGCTATTGGACACTTCAAATGTAATCAGTGCCACTGAGAAGTTGAGTTTTTAAGTATTAGTTCATTTAAATTAGTATAAAGTTAAATAGCCACATGTGACTAGTGGGGGAGCAGTGCAGCCCAGAGATCAATACTCTGAGTGCAAGTTTTGCTTAAACCCTTAGTTTTCTAGAACCATTCAGCCAGCGCTGATACGGAGCATGGCCCCCAAATCCAACTGGATCCTTGATCATTAGACAAAGATCTCGTAACCTCAGACATTTTAAAAAGCTTTTTCAATACAGCACATTTCTTGCATATCTGCAAATCCAGCTGAAGAACTTCTGAGTTACTCCATCTGAATCCAAAAGCCTGCTCCTTATGGGGCTGTTTAAAATGCTTGAAATTGTTAACATCCCAAATGTACGTCACTTGGCTCAGGTTCTGAAGAGAAAGGGGACATTGTGGGGTGGGGGAATCGTGAGACTTCTGGTTCTCGCTTATAAAAGAATTATTGTGACTCCCTATCTGTCTTCTCTGCCCCCCAGTATAGATTTAGGCATTCCTAATTCTACGGTGGAATACATATGCGTGTATGCTCACACACACAGGAGCATCCATTCAAGTGAGCAGTGGTTCACTGTGGAAACACGGGTGCCTTCTTGGGATCCCCATGCCACGTTGGTAGCATTAAGTGAGAATGAATGTGGCCCCATGCATTCCTTCCCTAGCTGCCTTTTAGGTTTCACTCTGAATAGCTTGCATACTCAGTTGAGAGATCACTGTAGCAACTGTAATACAGACTCCCTCCAAGGCCTGTCCTAGAGACAGGAGGAAGTCTTAGGGAGAAGAAGCAGGCGAGGGAGGTGGAGCCTCCATACACCTTGCAGAAAATCACCAAGTACAGAAATGGTGCTGGCCTGGGAGCTGGAGGCCTGGCATGGAGTAAGAGGTGCCCAGGGAAGTGTCTGCACATTTCACATTTCTCAGCTCTGCATTCTTCTCCAGCAAGACTGAAGAGCTGCACCTGATTTGGGCCGAGTGTATGATGGCCAAGAATAGCTATTATTCATTTTCATCACCTCCTTTCTTCCAGAACTAGGCCCATAGGAGAGCCAGGCCTCCCCGGGGGCAGCTGGGCCAGGCACTCTGCAGTCTCTACCCTCAGTGTGGCCGGAGGAGCATCAAGGGCAGCTGTGACCTGGGGACGGTCACGGACCCCTGCGCCGAGGCTGAGTGAGGCTGAGCTGCAGGTGCGTGGAGTGTGAGGAGCCATCCCGCCCTCAGCACTGGTGAACTGATGCACACACATGGAGGCATCAGTAGTGTTTCAGGGCCAACCTGCAGATCTTCTCCCAACTGCGTAGCCTCAGCCGGGTAACAGAGGAGGGCTCTGGGACAAAGGCTTGGCTACTGGTGGCCAGTTCTGTGAGGAACCATTGTTAGAAGAAAGAAGTTGTATCTTAGAGAAGTGTGGCAACCTCTGGTTCTGGAAAAAGGGGAGCACAAGGGACGATGAGGACCTAGACAAGGAGGCTCGCAGGCAGAGGCGACCTTGCCCAAAGCCTGAGCTGCAGGACACTCTACTGTCCAGCAGCTGGGGCGGCGGCCAGTCCAGGCAGGGCTGCTTCTCCCAGGACCTGGTTGCACTGTTCTCCAAGCTGCAGACAGACAGCCTGGAGCAGAAATTAAGCTTCTTCCTGGAGAACTGAGTTATTTTGGGAGTTGGGGAGGGGATGATGGTCGTTAGCCTGTTATAGAACCACTGAAACCAAAGGGTCACTCCACAAAGGACTTGTGTGCCCCTCCACAGACCCCCAGGCACGAGTTCACTCACAATGTCTATTCCCCAGTCCTCTAGTGGTGACTGTTAGGATGCAGATTCTAGGGCCCCACACTGGAGCTACCAAATCAGAATCTTTGGGCTTGGGGGCCATTAGCACCTGCCCTGAGATTTCCTCTTAGGAACGAACCCCACCCCCCGCTATGGGAGAAGCCCCCAGAGCAGACTCCTCCTCACAAATACCCTGGCTGGTTCTGCTGCGAGTGGAAAGTTCTGGGATCAGGAGAAGGTGGAGAGGAGCAGGCCGACTGCCCTCCCCGGGGTGTGCTGGGAAGAGCAAGGGGCGGGAGCCGGGAGTTCTGCGACCTTGTTCCAGCTCTTTAAGCCCCAGGCTCTTCTTTGCCCCAGAGAGGGGGTGGAAGGCCCCGATGACTGAGGTTTGTCCCCCATTTCCATTTAGCTTTTATTTGCATCGCAGTGTATTCTTCTGAGTATACCAGGGGAGGGATCTTTGGGCTTCAAAGTGGTGTATCCACCCGCATGATTGGCTCTCAGGTGGTTTTACCGCAATACTTTAACTTTTTAAATTAACTAGACAGCCAGAGGGAGAGAGAGGTCTCATCTGTGGCTTCACTCCCCAAACACCTGTAACAGCCCAGGGGAAGCCAGGAGCCAAGAACTCAATCCAGGTCTCCCACATGGGGGGCAAGAGCCCAGTTACATGAGCCATCACCTGCTGTTTCCCAGGGTCTGCAATAGCAGGAAACTGGGGTCAGGAGCCAGAGCCAGGAATCAAACCCATGCACTCCAATGTGGGACGTGGGCGTCTTCACCACTAGGCCAGACACCTGCTCCCCTTGACATTTTTTTAATTCTTTCATTGAGGTAGCTTTATCTCTTGCTTATGAAGGTTTTGAAATACACGCACACATGCACACACACACACACACTTGTTTTATGTTTGTATATTTTTTATTATTAAAGTGACGTGCTCATTGCAAAAAAAAAATTCAAAAATCACAGAAATGCCTCTCTTCTTCCATAGCCAACCCTTATCAAATTCATGAGAGATAATTCCTAAACCCCTAAAGATGCATTATTCTACACGAAGAAAGAAAAGGATGTCAGAGCAGCAGCAGCACAAGTAATCCTGACTGTTAGGACATGGCAGGCGATGTATCTATTTATTTTTAAAAGTTTATGGCCGGCGCGGAGGCTCACTAGGATAATCCTCCGCCTTGCGGCGCCGGCACACCGGGTTCTAGTCAGGGTTGGGGTGCCGGATTCTGTCCTGGTTGCCCCTCTTCCAGGCCAGCTCTCTGCTGTGGCTAGGGAGTGCAGTGGAGGATGGCCCAAGTGCTTGGGCCCTGCACCCCATGGGAGACCAGGAGAAGCACCTGGCTCCTGCCATCAGATCAGCGCAGTGCGCCGGCCGCAGTGCGCCAGCCGTGGCAGCCATTGGAGGGTGAACCAGTGGCAAAAGGAAGACCTTTCTCTCTGTCTCTCTCTCTCACTATCCACTCTGCCTGTCAAAAAAAAAAAAAAAAAGTTTATTTATTTGAAAGTCAGAGTTACACAGAGAGAGGAGGAGAGGCAGAGAGAGAGAGCTTCCATCTGCTGGTTCACTCCTCAATTGGCCTCAATGGTTAGAGCTGTACCAATTCGAAGCCAGGAGCCAGGAGCCAGGAGCTTCTTCCAGGTCTCCCACGTGGGTGCAGGGGCCCAAGGATTTGGGTCATGTTCTACTGTTTTCCCAGGCCATAGCAGAGAGCTGGATTAGAAGTGGAGCAGCCAAGACTTGAACCGGTGCCCATATGGGATGCCAGCACTGCAGGTGGCAGCTTTACCTGCTATGGCACAGAGTTGGCCACGGACAATGTATTTAAACTTTACAACTGCCCTGTAAGGGATCTCTTTCCCTCATGGTGGTGGGGGAAATTTTATGAACATATTTACATTCAAGGGTACTTCAAAAAATTCATGGCAAGTTTGGTGGGCGTTTAGCCTAGTTTTTAAGACACCTATATCCTACATTGTGGTGCTTGGGTTCAGTTCCCAGCTCTGGTTCCTGATTTTAGGTTCCTGCCAATGGAGATCCTGGGAGGGCCTGGTGGTGGCAGAAGTGATCAGCTCACTGCCACCCACGGGGAGACCTGGATTGAGTTCCTGATTCCTGACTCTAGCCCAGCCCAGACCCTGCTTTGCCGGCATTTGGGGAGTGAGCCAGCAGTTGACAGCTGGTTCTGTCTGCCTCTCAAAAAAAAAAAAAAAAAAGAATAAAAATAAGTTTATTTTCATGCAAAAAAATTAGTATGAAATGCAGTTTTCCATAATACACATTTTTCATGAACTTTTTGAAAACCTTATATATTCATGGATTTCAATTATTTTTGCTACCAAATACATTTATCTTTTAATTCCATTTCCACCAATTTTCAGAAGCACCCTTGTATATACAAACACCAAAAATTTATTTTTTTATTTTATTTAAGTTATACAAGTTTCATGTATTACATATACAGAGATTTAGAAACATAATGCTACTTCCCACCCACCCACGCTCCAACCCTTCTTCCTCCTCCCTCTCCCATTCCCACTCATCATTTTTACAAAGATCTATTTTCAGTTTACTTAAGGTCTTAAAGTTAACACTATACTAAGTAAAAGAGATCAACAAACAGTATGAAGAAAAAAAAAAACAGTTCCTCAATGGAAGAGACAAGGGCTGTAAACAATCATCAGATCTTACAATGTCCATTCCACTCCAGTGCATTACATTTTAGGTACTCTATTAGTTACCTCAGATCAGGGAAAACATATGTCTTTTTGGGACTGGCTTATTTCACTAAGTATAATGGATTTTTATAAAAATAGGATAAAGCTATAACTATCGTACTGCAAATTCCTTTTTTAGTCTTAATATATCATGATGATTTTTTCCACAACTGTACATGTCAAATTTTTTAACATCTGTGGTGTTCAATTATATGAAATCATAATTAAGCAAAAGACATTTATAGAAATAATGTTACAAATAATGCCACAGTGCTGTACAGTAACCTTTTTTCAGGTATCTTTGCATCATTGGATGAGCATTTCTATTACATTCATTTTTAGAAGCATTTAGAGTACAGTAGGTTCAATAGAGCATGTCCGTGAGAATGTTGTACAATTTAGATGACAATGAACTACATTTGAGTGTCCCTTCTAAGTGCTGAAGGACTCTGCAAATCCAAATTGAAACACCTGATGAAGTTCAGGACGTTTGTTTCCTACAGCTGGCTTTAGATTCTCGGTTTTGCCCCTCCAAAACTCTGAAACTTGGAACTACCAGGAGGGCACATCACTCAACGTTGGGGGCCTTGATTTCTTCCGGGTGAAATGACAACACGGTAATTCACGCTCTCCAGGCTCAACCGCCCCCTGCTTTCGCTCTTTGCTTTCGCTCTCCTCCTTATGGAAAATGATCTGGTTCCCTTGGCCTGCCAGGATCCATTTGTTAATGCATCAGTGAGTTAAGAACTCCCCAACCTAGAGATGCTAAGTAATTTTCCTGTTACTTGGAAAGCAAGCAGGTCTTAGCAGGTTATGACCCAAAATGCTTAAACTTCTCAAACAGCGACTGGGTCTTTAAGAAAACCAGATCTTTCCTGATTCCAAGAGGCCACTTGGTGTCAGCATCCTGGCCCCTGGGGATGATAAGTCACAGGAGGGGTTTGAGAAGGCTGACAGGGTATCACATCCCTCTGGGGAATCTTGCTTTCCCGGAATGAGTACTTCCAACTGTACGGGCCCTGACAAAGAAAGGGTTGTGTGGACCACGATCTGACAGAGCACGTAGCATGGATTAATCAGATGAGGGGCTGTACCCAATCTGTCAGTCGTGTTTGGGACAATGTCTTAGATAATAAGGCTTTCCATTTCCATGGTGTTCCCGAGTCATTATCCCACTTGACCCTCTCAACATCCCTGTTGCAACGGCCAGAAAGGGGATGGCCATACGCACTGTGGAGATGCAGACATGGGATTCAGGGAGATGTGCTGGCTTGTCTCACATCCCAGGGCAGCGCGTGGCCGAGGCAGGCACACAAGCTAGACTCCAGCCTGGTTCTGCCACAGTGGGTCCTTGGCAGGCTAATCTTCAGCTCCTTTTTGCTGGCCCTTTTTCAGGGCTGGACTCCTCTTTAGGATCCTTTCCAGATCAGACTTCTGTTGAAGAGCTGCAACTCCTTGGTATTTGAGGGAGCAGGTACAGGCTAGACCATGAAATTTCTCGGAATTTGGGATCCGGCCGATGGTGAGTTTTACTTTCTAAAACATAAGAAGCAAGAAAACTAAATGATGCAAGATTGTCCCCAGGGTTTCTGTGTCTTGATCTGTCCTCAATGACACCCCTTGAAGATGTTTTGGAAGAAACTCCTTTAACGGATTCCAATATCCGGGCCTGAGGAGGCTGGGGTGACTTGCATATTCAGGTGGAAGATGGGTATTTATTTTTCTGCATCCACTGGGCTGAGTGTTTCGGGAAGATCCAGAGAGCATAGGTGGTGCTCTGAGAGGCTGACGGGCACCAGGATTAAAAGGGCCTCTTTTTTTTTTTTTAAATTTTTTTTGACAGGAAGAGTGGACAGTGAGAGAGAGAGATAGAGAGACAGAGAGCAAGGTCTTCCTTTACCGTTGGTTCACCCTCCAATGGCCGTTGTGGCCAGTGCACCACGCTGATCTGAAGCCAGGAGCCAGGTGCTTCTCCTGGTCTCCCATGCGGGTACAGGGCCCAAGGACCCGGGCAATCCTCCACTGCACTCCCAGGCCACAGCAGAGAGCTGGCCTGGAAGAGGAGCAACCGGGACAGAATCTGGCGCCCCGACTGGGACTAGAACCCGGGGTGCCGGTGCCACAGGTGGAGGCTTAGCCTAGTGAGCCGCGGCGCTGGCCAAAAGGGCCTCTTGAAACCAGCAAAGAGACTACGAGGAGCAGCTCCAGATACAATTAGAGGAAACGGAAGTTGGCTGAATTTCTCCTGCTGTCTGGCAGGTCCTCCTTCACACCCACACCTGCCCCCTGCCTGTTCACGTCTGCCCCGTCTGCCTTCACTGTCTGCCCTTCAGCCCCACGCCAGCTCCAGGAAGGGAAGGAAACCTGATGGACTCAGGTGCTGCTGAACATTAGGGACGATGGGCGCCCTCCTGTCCTCTACTCCCTCTTCCAACCTCTGTTCCCTTCCCGGGACCAGGAGTCTGAATCTTAGAAGAGGGTTGGGTATCCATTTTAACACTAAGAAGTGAGCAAGGATGGTGGAGGGGACAGAGGGCCACTTCCTGATTTTCCAGCTGACCAAGTAGGGGCGTCCCCCATCCCCCTTTATTTCTCCCTAACATCCAGTTAAAATTTCTTTTATTAATAAATTCTCCCTCCCCTGAAAACTTTCTCCCCAAAATAAATATTCCCTCCCTCTTTGGGGGCTGAGGAGATCTGAGTCTTAGGGCCAGCCCCCTAGTGTTACCAGCAGGCTCCCTAACCCCCCAGGCTGGGGACTCCCCGTGGTGGAATTTGAGGACATCAGAGTGGGTGGGGCCTAGTGGTGTATCTGGCCCCCAGGGCATTAGGGGAAGGGGGAGGCCCCCTTGTGCGAATGCTGCTTTTTCTTGCATCAGCGGTTTCCGTGAGCCACCAGGAGGCTGCTTTGCTGCAGGCCCTGTTTTCTCATTGAAAGAGGGGGGAGGTAGAATGAGCCAGCAGAAATGCCAGCACCTCCTCCCCCTGCCTGTGACTAGAGAGGCAACCATGACAAAGTGCAGTCGTGAGCCCTCAGGTAGGGTTCCTGGATCTGCTATTCCCAGGCAAAACCTCTTCTCTTGGCTTCTGAGCCAATGGCTGGATCTCTGAGTCTGAGTATCACTTGCGAAATTTCAGAAGAGTACAAATGATGATGTTGACCGCTTGATTCCAATGTGAGTCCTTGGCTGAGGAAATGTATTACGGTTTCCAGCTGGTTGGATTGTGTCCCTAAAAGGTACTCCCTTTTCCCCACATAAACTCCTCTCCAGTCTTCAAAACCTAAGACAAACACCACCCCTCTGACACCTTTTTGACCTCTCAAATAGACCTCTCTCTTCATTCTTCCTCTCTGTTGTCTGCCACTTACTAGTTATGTGTCTTTGGTAACTCCCTCATCCTTACTGGTTTACCCACTTAGATAATATGAATAGTAAGTTTAATCCAACCCATAGGGATATTGTGTACTGGAGAGGAGATAAGACATATAGGCAGTATACACTTGACACTATGCATAAACCCTCAGAGCCAGAAGAAATCTGGGAGCCCATTCAGTTTAGTGGTTTTCCAAAAGTTTAAGCCAAGGAGCAGTTTCTTCAAGGAAGGCTAACAGGATAGAGCAGTATTGGAGGCTTATCCTTTCAAAGAAATGTGAATGATAAAGGTGGACTTCTCAAGTTGAATCCTTAGCATACTGTCTTCTTGTCCTCTCTCCCACCCCTATCCCAGGGCTCCAAGAAGTACAGTTTGAAAATCAGCCCCTGACTTTAAAGAGAAGAAACTGAGACCCAGAAAAAGGCAGTGATTTTCCCATGACAGTGGGGCCCATGACAAATAAAATTAGATGAATGAAGGAAGAAGATGGAGACTGTCTCACTAGGCAAGATCATGACAAGCCTCCCCCCTTTTTAGATTTATTTATTTATTTGAAAGGCAGAGCTAGAGAGAGAGAGAGAGAGAGGTCTTCCATCCTCTGGTTTGCTATCCAAATGGCTGCAATGGCTGGAACTGGGCCAGTCTGAAGCTAGGAGCAAGAGCTTCTTCTGGGTCTCCCACTTGGACTTGGGCCATACCCCACTGCTTTCTCAGGTGCATAAACAGAGAAATGAATCAGAAGTGGAGCAGCCAGGATTCGAACTGGCATGTATATGGGACACCATCATAGCAGGTGGCAGCTTTACCTGCTATACCACAACATTGGCCCTGTGACAAGCCCTTTAAAAACATACACACCCAGGACATACCCACGTATTATAGCTGTGAACTCTCAGAGGAACATATGGCTATGTTGACTTCTTAGGAGAGGAAATGGGGGCTTGAAAAGGTGAACCTGTCCAAATTCCAGGACCTACAGAAATTGAAGTAAAAGTAGGGTGGATGCTGTGGCACAGCAGGATACTTGCATCCCACATGGCGCGCCTGGAATTGAGTCCTGCCCCTATTTCTGATCCAGCTTCCTGCTAATGTACACTTGGGAGGCAGCAGGTGATGGTTCAAGTATTTGGGTGTCTGCCACCAAGGAAGGAGTTCCCGCCTCCTGGTTTGACACTGGCTCAGGCTCAGTGGTTGTGGGCATCTGGGAAGTAAGCCAGTTGATGGAAGGGCTCTGGCCCCCCCACCCCACCCCCTTTCTTTCTCACTGTCACTCTACCTTTCAAATAAATAAACTCTACAAAAAGAATTAGAAGTGAAAATAATAGTAACTGTACCAAGCACCTAATACATGCCAGTCACTATTGTAAGCACATTACACGTATCATCTCATTTAATTCTCCAACAACTGGTACTGTTATCATCTCTAATTTCACATAAGAGAAAACTGAAGCGCGATTGACTAAAGGAGTCAATTTGGTTTGCAAACCCTGAGCCATTCTGAGTCTATGAAAGCCCTGTTTGCCACCTTGTGCTACTTCTGAGGTCCCAGACCCAGGTGCGCTCTCTCTCCTAGCCTGGTTCTTGTTCTAAATCTACTTGATAGGAAAGAATTTTGGAAGAGTACTAAAAGAACATCCCCAGTTATTCACACTTGATGGCAGAAGAAGGACAAGCCTCATCTGTATTCTGATACCTTTCAGGCTCAGTGTAAGACCTTGCTCTTGTTCCTCCTGGCATAGACCTACCTTGGCCAGAGTAGATCAGTAGGACTCACCTCCTTCTGGATGGAACGGGTGAGAAACAAGGAGACCTCCTCCAGGCTCTGGGGCTTCAGGTCATTCACTGCCAAAACATGATCTCCGTGGCAGAATAAGCACCCCAGGTGCGGGGGGCCTTCCCACCGAGCCACGCTGCAGAGGGAATACAGTGACCAACACCAGTGTGAGACCAAGCTCCCTGGGAGGGCAGGGCATAGGTGGGGCCTGGAGCCCAGCTATGTCTGTTTTCTACTCAGACTCGCTATTCCTCTCTCACTATGGCTGGAGCTTACCCTTTCTTCCAAGTCCAGATCAAATCACACCACCTCTCAAAGTCCTATGTTCCATTTCCTTTTCTATAATGAACCACCCCCGTCCTTGAATCTATTGTATTGTGGACATACCTCATTGTATTTATTTATATATATATCTTATATATCTTTATATATATATATATATCTTTACCTCTCTGTCTCTGTCTCTCTCTCTCTCTCTCTCTATATATATATATGTATATATGTCTTTAAATGCATTGCCAGACTATGTGATCCCAGAAGTATGGGATCACCTTTTTTTTTTTTAATTTTTATAACCTTGTAGTTCCAAATAAACAGATGGTACTCAGTAAGTGTTTGTTGGGAATTAGTACATAATGATTACACAATAAATACCTAATAATCAAATAAAGGAACTAATGAAAGCGCGAGCTCAGTGACAGAGAAGTCCACAGTCTTGGTCAAGCATTTATTGAGCCTTAGATTATGGGAAATTTGTAAACATGGAAGGTTGTGGTTCCTACTCACTTAGAATTGATAAGACAACTCATGTGTGGTGTTTCCTCCTTTATGAAAGGGTAACCTCCCATCAAAAGGAATTGGAAAGTCATTTTTAAAATGTGATTTCCTTAATGATTAAGGAAATTCTCTGCCACATGACCTCTGCATCTGAGTCACCTGCCAGCAGATGTTTAGCTGGTATCTGGAAATCTGAGTCACTGGTAGGCCTGTTTCTGTTGGCCCTTTGATTCTCATTTCCCCCACTCTTGCTCATCATCGTGCCATGAGTGGGAGTGACGTCCTTGAACCATGTGTACTCCCTGCTATTCTTCCTTACCTGATTGAGAAATCAGAATTCTGTTTCTTGGACTTTTGGGTCCTCTTCCACCCACTCACCTCCCAAACAACTCTCTGTGCAATACCCTTCCTTTTGCTTCCATCAAAGATTTGTGACAACGAAACACAACAGTCCAAGCTCTGTGGTCAGTCTTGTCAAACACAGTATTCCGAGCTGTAACTGATCTCTTTCTGTCCATAAAGCCCATTTATAAGCAGTAACAACCAGAACTCTGACCTACCATATTCGTCCTGCAGCTTCTATGAGAGCAAGATAGTTTATGATATCAGGAGGAGAAAGGAACACGTTCAGTTTCTCCACTTGGCTTTCATCAGGGATGTTACTATGAGACAAAACATTTGTAAAAGTCATATCAGGCAAATGGTCCCTGGCTCTGACCTGCACTTTCTGAGAAGACTTTTGGCCTCCGATTTCTGAAATGATATTTTCCAGTTCAATGTTGTCTGAAACATATTTGTAAGAAAATATGAATTCAACTCATCAACAAGTAATCACTGAAGTCCTCCCCCACCCCCTGGAGAGCCGTAGTGGATGACAGGCAATGGAAGGGAGGCAAAAATGGGCTCAATTGGTCAGTTTGCATATTTCTCTGATAGCAGTGATTCCAAGGAAGAAGGGACAGAGAAGAGCACCCCCCCCAGTCTACACCCCAACCTCCTGTGACTTGCATACCTGTAATTGTGCTAATGTAAAACGTGGGTGATAGGCCATTCAGATGAGTGTATGTCCAAAGATACAGTACCCTAAAGACTAGCCAGGGAAATTTTTTTAAAATACCACCCCCAGCCCAGGGGACTGCTCTGCTTCTAGTTCTGCTAACTTCCTTGGCCACAGCATCAGTGACAGGGAAAAGCTGGTCAGATTCTTGGCTCGCCAGGAAATTTTTAGGAACTATTTTAAAATTAAAAAAAAAAAATAAAGGAAGACTGTCTTGCTCTTAGGGGCCATACAGTTTTAGAAAGAAGAGCTTTACTTGATTAAGATAGACAACTGCACAACAGTGAGTGAGGCCAACCCCTTTTTGTCATTTGTGGTCTGTGCTTCTGTATTGGCAGGTGTAAGACACGAATCACTTCCCAAGCCTTGTTCCTGCAGGTGAAGTCCCCTGTCCTGGGTCTCTGGAAGAATCTGGAACTCCTTTTGGTTTTCAGCAGACTCCTGGGGTGTTTCCTCGAAAAAACTGGAGTATAAAAAGTTAAACCTTTTTTTTTTTTTTAGCATATCTACTTACAAAATTCTGTTGTATGTGTCATTTAAGTAGCTAACAGCCATGTGAAAACTAACAAGGGCTTGAAGTATGTCCAACTATCAAAATCACAGCCACAGTTAGAATCAAATCCAATAAACTTTCCTTCTAAAAATGGATATGGACTCAAAATAACCCTTTGTAGGGTTTAGAGGACAGAGTGAAAGTGTGGGAGACAGAAATGCAAAATAGCAAACAGCTTCCCCAGATGGAGAATGTCCTGAATTTGTCACCAGCGGTTTTCTGTGGGTAGAAAAATCATTCCCACATTTTCTTGTTTTGAGAGTACAGGTTGAGCATTCCTAATCCACAAAGCTAAAATGCTTCAAAATCCAAAAGCTTTTCAGCACTGATATATCACCACAAATAGAAAATTCCACCTCTGATCTCATGCGACCAGGGTCGCAGTCAAAATGCAGGAGCAGCCGGCACCGCGGCTCACTAGGCTAATCCTCTGCCTTGCGGCGCCAGCACACCAGGTTCTAGTCCCGGTCGGGGCGCCGGATTCTGTCCCGGTTGCCCCTCTTCCAGGCCAGCTCTCTGCTGTGGCCAGGGAGGGCAGTGGAGGATGGCCCAAGTGCTTGGGTCCTGCACCCCATGGGAGACCAGGAGAAGCACCTGGCTCCTGCCATTGGATCAGCGCGGTGCACCAGCCGCAGCGCGCCGGCCACAACGGCCATTGGAGGGTGAACCAACGGCAAAGAAAGACCTTTCTCTCTGTCTCTCTCTCTCTCACTGTCCACTCTGCCTGTCAAAAAATAAAAAAAAAAATGCAGGAGCACTAAAGATTTGTATAAAATTACCTTCAGCCTATATGGAAAAGGGGTAAATAAACCATAAAGGAATTTGTTTTTAGACTTGGGTCCCATCCCCAATATATCTCATTATGTATGTGGAAACATTCCAAAGTCCAAAACCTGAAATATTTCTGGTCCCAAGCAGTTCAGATCAGTGATACTCAGCCTATACTGAATAATGTCTCGAGCCTGGTCTGTGGTAATGTTTTGCATTTGTTTATCACCTACTAAAATGAATTGGCAGTAATTATTCCATCATAATAGATGAGTTAAATCTATTTTTAAGATGGCAGTTTTACTTACCAGGATTTCATTGACATGTAATGATGCTCAGATCTCATGGAGACCTGTTTTGGACAACCAGGTTTGATAGAGTCATCCGAACCAGCAGAATCAATATTGTCCAACTGAGCAAGAGAAGCAGACGTAAGTAAGGGTTCAGGTCAGCCAGTCAGGCAGGCGCCTTCCTACCCTAACATTGTGGCTCTTGACTATGAAATAGGAAGTACGTCCACCACTGGATGAACAGCGGTTCTCTTCCGGGGAGTACCAGCCAACCTTACCCACACTGGACAGACCAGCAAAGCCTCTGGCTGACCCAGAGTCCATTTTCTCCTCCTGGGTTCCCCCATGCTCCTGATAAAAGTCTTGTGTTGGGCTGAACTGCTGTTTTCCCCTTTGTCACTAGGCATTTCATGGCTTAAATGCTTTCACCCCATCAGTTATGCTACTGAATCACAGAAACTGGCTGTGTCAGAGACCCAGTGACGTTGCAGAGCTGGTCTCTGGGTACTGTGCTCATAAGTGCTTTAAATTCCTTCAGGAGGCTGTGAGAACCCCAGAAATGATTGCCTTTGGGAGGTACTCATCAACTCCTTAGAACCAAGAGGCATTTGCAGCAATGGTTGCTTAAAACCCCCAGGACCTGCCTACCAAGCTCATCATTAAGCCAATAACTGGACCAAACTTCCAGTCATGCACATCTTCCCCTACAGATGGTGCCCCTCTTGTCTCCGCATCCATGCTATTTCCTTCACTGGAATGCCCTTTACTCGTTTGCCAACTGAAATTGTTTGACTGAAGTGTCACAGCCGCCTCCGATCTACTTAGCCACACTGATCTTTCCTTGCTCTAAATTTCCATTGCTATTTTGTACTTTTTCCTTTTGTTCCTTAAGTTAGTTTTGTCTGCCTTGCTGGACTTTGCATTCTATAAAGTACCTAGCAAGCACCAGGCTTAGAACTGATGCTGAATATACATCTGTACCATTAAACTATACCTGAATATACATCTGTACCTGGAACCTAGTTGTTCCAGGGAACACTAGGAGGAAAATATTTTTGATAAAAGGAGGATTCTATATGCAAATGAGCATGGGGAATGCTGTATCTTGGACCTCTCTTAGCTGTTTGTAATACACCACTGTATACTAAAAGCTGTGAAAATTCTGCTGGTAAGAAGCATGTTGAACTCATTTTAACTTGTGTTTCCAGAACTTATGTGACTCAGAATACTTTTTGTGTGTGAACACAGTAGAAAGCCCCATTTTGGGGAATGATATACCTCCCTTCCCATTCTGCCTTCCTATCTCCCACTTCCAGTCTCTTCTTTCTAGACCACTGCGGACATAGGTACTGTGTTAATAATGACTGAAAGATAATCAGGGTTTTCCTGTGACAGAGTAACCACTGCCCCTGCACTGCCCACAGAATGAAGTCAACCCGGCATGCAAGACCTATCATGGGCTGGCGCTCTCTCTGTTTTATTTCCTACTGTGTGATTTACACACTCCAAGCTGCAGCCTAACTGAAGTATTCTTGCACATACCAAAGGCCATTCCATCTCTGAAGCCTTCTCTGGCTTCAGTGGAGAGAGAGAATCTGTCCCTTTCCTATTGCTTCCAGAGCACTTTGCGCATGCCCCATGTAGCATTATCGTATGGTAATGGAGAAGACTTGGAGCTCAGAGAGCAGGGAATGTCAGGTTCATTATTGCAGAGACCATGTAGATGCCTAACACCCAGAAGGAACTCAATAAGGGCCTCCAATTGATCCATAATAGACTAATCAATGAATACTACACAATTTATCACCCAAGCTCCTTTGCTTCTATTTTTCATTCTGTGAGAATGCATCCTGTTGACTCCCAGAGTCAGCCCTAAGTCCAAATTTTACCCAGCAAGGAAGATCAAGTATCATATACTCCATGAAACTTTCCATGGTCATCTTTATGGAAGTCAGCTCCCCCTTATCCCGCCCCTTATGCACTTCTGGGCATTGTATAAACATCTTCTGTTTAGCACGGAGCCATTTCTTTCCTGGACTCTGGTTACTCCTTTATGAGTGTCAGCGTCATGAGCTCATCAGCTATGTCTGATTTGCCTGTTCCCACTGACCCGGCATAGTGTCTCAGGAGTAGTGCGTGGCAGGTCTCAGTAGGCATGAGTGACTAATGGATGGAAGGGGTTACCTCTAAACGAATACTTCGAGGACTGAGGTAATAATTTTCTTCTTCTGCATCTTCTGTGGTCTTCGAGGAGAAATCATGTGATGGATAACTTTGCCTGTATCCTGGAGAACTGTTTTCCGTTAAATGCTAAATAGAAGAGATATTGAAGAAGGAGTTAGTGTTTTCTTTTTCTTTGCAAAAGAATCAAACCACATACTTTCTGGAAAAGCTATCTTAGATTAGATGAGTTGAAAAGATCAGAGGATCTGCCAGAGTTATATCCATGAAGCCCATTGAACTGATTCAGACCTTCTTCTCTACCACTCGGAGCTGGAACTTAGAGCACCTGGTTTCCTCCTGTGGGTGGGAGGCTAAGTCACCCAGCTGTGTTGTTGCGTCTTCTACCCTCATCTTTCTTCAGTTCCCACCCAGTGCCATCTGAGAAGATAATTGACCCAGAGTTAGGGCCCTGCACCTTTCCCCTCCCTGCTCGGTGTTCTTCAGTGTTTTGCTCACATGCTTCTGTTGTTTCCATAGCAATGCAATTAGGTAGTGTTGACCGTGTGACAGTATGAATTATAGGCTTCAAGGTTATCTAGGTTCAAGCAGTTATTGCCTTCCTTCCCCCAACAGGCACACGTGACACTACTAAAGTAGTAGTTGGAAGGAAAATCGTTATAAGTAAAACTTAAGTCTTCCAAAAACAATGCCTCAGGGGATAGAGTTTTCAAAAGACCCTGAATGGTCTCTAGTGAGTCCTTGAAGGAGGGGATTACAAATATCTGTGCGCAAATAATCTCTGACTTGTCAGAGTTCAGACGATGACATTTTGACTTTATGATGGTGTGAAAGTGATACACATTCAGTAGAAATCGTATTTCAAATTTTGACTTTCAATTTTTTTTAAAAAAATTATTTATTTATTTGAAAGGCAGAGTAACAGAGAGGCAGAGGCAGAGAAAGAGATCTTCCATCCTCTGGTTCACTCCCCAAATGGCCACAATGGCTGGAGCTGGGCTCATCTGAAGCCAGGAGCCAGAAGCTTCTGCCAGGTTTTCCACACAGGTGTAGGGGCTCAAGCACTTAGGCCATCTTCTACTGCTTTCCCAGGCCACAGCAAAGAGCTGGATTGGAAGTGGAGCAGCCAGGTCTCGAACTGGCACCCATTTAGAATGCTGGCACTGCAGGCAGAGGCTTTACCTACTATACCACAATGCTGGACACTGAGTTTTTATTTTTTCCCCCAGGTTAGCGAAATGTGGTATATTACTCTCTCATGATGCTGAGCTGTGGCTGTAAGGGGCATTTCCCAATTATTCCGACAGTCATACGGGTAAACACCTGGGACTCTAAAATGTTCTGTGCTGCTAAATGGGAATGCTAATAGGCTATATTCCATGAATTTTCAGTTTACCATATTTTCGATTTACAGTGGGTTTATTGGGACATAGACCAATTGTAAGTTGAGCAGCATCTGTATTTAAGTTGTATTTGTTTTTCTATTTCTAACCTTATTGCTGTGTTTTTTTGAATGCCACTTCTGAAACTCACACTGGAATTGCCATTTTAAGTTGAGGAGCACCTGTATTTAAGTTGTGTCTGTTCTTCTAGTTCTAAACTCATTGCTCTTTTGGCTGTCTCCTGCAAAACTCATGTGGAAATTTAATTGCCATTGTTACAGCATTAGATGAGGAGGTTGTGGGGGTTCTGCCCTCATGGATGGTAGAATGCCACTAACACAAGGGTGAGTTAGTTATCGAAGGGGTATGTTGAGTTCACCTGACGTCCTCTCTGTGTATGTAGCATTGGCTCAGCTGCCCTTCTGCCAAGTTAAGATTTAGCAAGGCCTTTGCCTATTGCAGCCTCTCAATCTTGGATATCCAGCCTCCAGACTTTGAGAGATAAATTCCTTTTCCTTATAAATTACCCAGTCTGTGGTATTCTATTGCAACAGCAGAAAATAGACTAAGACACTCTTAGAGCCAGATCAGCTGACTTGGGGTACAGAAAGGCATCTACTTCATTCAAACAGTAATGATATCAACACCCAGCAAGGCAAATGCTACTCTCAAACTGGTTGAAAACTCACTGGATGTGGATACATTGTGTGAAAAGACAGAATGACTAGTGCAATCTCTGGGGGCCAAAGGATGTCATAAATGAAAATCTAGAGGCATTTGCTGAACACAGGCAGCCTTTCTAACCCTTTGTCATACCACTGTTTCTACTCACTGTATGAATAATGGGGATGAGGCGTTTGGCCCTGTGAATTTGATATGCTACAAAAAGCTCCACTTCTTTTTTCTTTTCTTTTCTTTTCTTTTCTTTTCTTTTCTTTTCTTTTCTTTTTTTTTTTTTTTACAGGCAGAGTGGACAGTGAGACAGAGAGAAAGGTCCTCCTTTGCCGTTGGTTCACCCTCCAATGGCCGCCATGGCTGGTGCACCGCGCTGATCCGATGGCAGGAGCCAGGTACTTATCCTGGTCTCCCATGGGGTACAGGGCCCAAGCACTTGGGCCATCCTCCACTGCACTCCCTGGCCACAGCAGAGAGCTGGCCTGGAAGAGGGGCAACCGGGACAGAATCTGGCGCCCTGATCGGGACTAGAACCCGGTGTACCGGCGCCGCAAGGCGGAGGATTAGCCTAGTGAGCCACAGCGCTGGCCAAAGCTCCACTTCTGATCCAGCTCCCTGCCATGGGTCTGGGAAAGCAGTAGGAGGTGGCCCAAGTCCTTGGGCCCCTGCACCCGCGTGGGAGACCCCGAGGAGGCTCCTGGCTCCTGATGGCTTTGGATCGGCGTAGCTCTGGCCATTGCAGCCAACTGGAGAGTGAAGCAGTGGATGGGAGACCTCTCTCTCTCTGCCTCTCCTTCTCTCTCTGTGTAACTCTGACTTTCAAATAAATAAATAAATCTTTAAAAAAAAAGAAAAGCTTTTAAAATACTTGAAGAGCTACCAACTAGACAAAATAAACCAAGTCTTATTAACTGTGCTTGGTACCCACAGAGAGGGGAAAGTCAGTGACTATGTCTCTACCAGATGAACTAGTGTCTGTGCAGGAGAACAAAACCACTCAGACTGTTTGCTATTGATATCCAAAGCTGGAAACACCAGAAATCCAAGAAAAATGCAGTATACAAATATAAATCTTTTTTAAGAGGCAGATGTGTTGTATCCTACATCCTCAAATTACAAAGGAAGATGTAGTGATACGCAAGAGGACTTTAAAAAGTTCACGGAGAGATCGTTGCTGTGGCATAGAAGACTAAGCCTCTGCCTGCAGCTCGGCATCCCATGTGGGCACCAGTTTGAGTCCTGGCTGTTCCCCTTCCAATCCAACTCCCTGCTAATGAGCTTGGGAAAGCAGTGGAAGATGGCCCAACTACCTGGGCCCTGCCCCAATGTGGGAGCCTGGATGAAGCTGCTGGCTCCTGGCTTTGGCCTGACCGAGCCCCAGCCGTTGCATTGTGGCCATTTGGAGAGTAACCACCAGATGGAAGATCTCTCTCTCTCTCTCTCTCTCTCTCTCTCTCTCTCTTTCTCTAGCTCTGCATTCTGCATTTCAAATAAATAAATAATCTCTTTTTTAAAGTTCATGGAAAAATGTATTAAAAGATGCTTATTTTGATGAAAAGGAAGGTTTTGAAATCCACGCACAGTTCTTTTTCATAATACACATTTTCCATGAACATATTGAAAATCCTTATATTGAAGATATGATGAGAAGCAAGACGGATCAGGATAAATGAAGGAAATGAATAAGGGACTTGCCTTTGCCTGAGGAGTACAGACAGTGTGGCAGGAAATCAAATAGTGTTTGGGGATCCCTCTACAGAGGTCTCTGTGCCTTGTGTGTGAAAGGAAGGAAAACAGTGCCAGCCTGACTTAGCCTCGCACATGCAGACACACATCCAGAGAATCCAGAATGAATGAAAATGTTCAGAGATAGGCAGGGCAAGCAATAAGGTTCAACTGTGGTTTGGGAGACAAACTACATATAGGGTAAATATCAGGGCTGGTGCATTCTTATAGTGTATTACGCTTTGAGGAAGATAGGCAATGTCAAATCCAGCTGCTCCTTGGTAAGATTTTGAAGCATCAGCTGCCTCCCAGACATGGCGTTCCTGAGAAGGGAAGAAGTGAGTCTGATTACCATGCCTGGAAGGCTTTTCCTGGACGAGGTGGAGCCGACAGCATGCAGTGTGCTGGGAAGACCAAGGAGAGGGCTGGGGTCTGAAGTGGGCCTTTTCTCACCCATTGGGAGTTTCCTCTGCTTAGGAGAAAGGAGTGGTGTCATCAGGCATGGTTGATCTCTTGTCTGGAATGAAGCAACAGTCTCTCCTCTGGGTGTCCGTGCCTCTAGTCCCTCCCCACCCCAGCGTTTTCCCCACAGCACTAACGCTTGTGCTGCCAGCAAGCCAGTGTCATCTCTATAAGGCAAGAGCTGGTCTGGGCTCTCTCCTGTTCCCAAACCTTTGAGGAAGCTTGGCCTGGCCTTCAAAGATGCCAAGTTTCCCTCAGCCTGTCTTCTCGACTCTATCTCCATCTGCACTCCTTCCCTCTGCTCTCACCATTTGCATCTACGCTGGACATGCCTTGCTTTCTCCCTGGATTTTGCTTTTGCTGTAAGCATAGAAAAACCTAGAAAACTAGTCCAAAAAGATGCCTAGAGACCAAAGTTCCATTTCCAAAGATCCCCCTGGGAAAGGACTTAAAAGGGTAAATTAACAAAGGATCTCATGAGATCAACTAGAAATGTAAAGCTACTAGCACTGGCATGAAAAAGACATATTAAAAATTCAAGATAGTTGAAACAAATTGTATAGAAACTTCCCTAGAGTTAGTCACTGAAAAGGAAGCTTGTTATGCACCTTGAATAATAATGATGAAAAATACAGTAATTGTAGCTACTACGAAAAAACGCTACAGTTAACTTTCACTCCCCTACCACAGTGATGGGAAGCTGCAGTGACTGTATTTTAGCTCTTTTATAAAACATTAAAGTTTTTTTTTCTATTGTTAATCGTAAAAAATAACAAGGACATACTTTTCTCACTTATTTATTCCTTGTATTAAAACCAGTTGCTAAGGAGGGGGGAAGAAAAGAGCTACCATTATTTCCTGTTGAAAGAGGGTTGTGTTCAGGCGCCCTGTTATTTTATTAGTGATCATCACCTCTGCTCTCTGATGTGTGGCTTTTATATCCCGGCAAAATGATGACATGAAGGAGACCCAGTCTTTAATCTTCTCCCTGTTGGTAGGAGTAAACTTTCAGCTGGCATGTGGCAGCAATAGCATCTGCACTCCATTTGCTTCAGAGAAGGACTCTTTTATTAAGGTTAGAACAGCAGTGGGAGCAGGTACCAGGGAAATTAGGACCCACTGGCCCTCGCCACCTCCACATTTGCACACTAGAATTAACCCCGAGGCCACCTCTGTGAGGAAAGCGCAGAGGAACAGGAAGAAAAGTAGAAAGGCAGAGTCTTAATCACAGGGTTTAGGGCCCTTGACTTTGACACTGATTGCCTTTGTGTACTTAAGTGAGCCCCCTAACCTGTCACTGCATTTTTGTGCAAGTATCCCAGGTGTGCCTCCCCTTGGGGAATGGCTGCGTTGGCAAAGAGAGTGCTTGAATGAATTTGCATAAACCACACCTTCTTTTCTGTTGGCTCACAAGGTAAAAGAAAATTCTAGCTGAGGTTGATGTGAAGCAGATCAAGGTTCTCCATACTCTGGCTTTAGCATTTGCAGCCTTTGCTGCGTGGCCTCCATAGGTGGTCTCCCCACCATAGGTGGTACCCCCTCAACCAGAGCAACCTCTCGGTGCCTTTGCTGGCACCTGGTGCCCCTCTTAAAAACTGAAGTCTCCTTTAGGGTGAACTTAGTCCCTTCCGGACATATGTGTAGATGCTGCATTTGTACAGGTGTTGTGTATTGAGTTCTTTCGCATGGAATCCATCTAGGGTGACAGTGACTATTGTGGGTGAATTGTGTCCCTCCCAACATTCACTTATTCCAGTCCCAGATCCCAGTACCTCAGTGTGACCTTATCTGGAAATACTGTTGTGATTCCTTAAGATGAGGTCATAGTAGAGAGGGCTCCTGATCCAGTATGGCTGAATCCTTACAAAAAGGGTGATGTATGGACAGAGAGAGAGGACACAAGGAGAACATCGTGTGTAGACTGGAGTTCTGCTGCTGCGAACCAAGAAGCCACCAGAAGTTAGAAGAGTGGCTTGGAAAAGTCCTTTTCTAGCATGGAGAGAGAGAGAGTGTGGCCTTGCCAACTGCTAGCCTCAAGAACAGTGACACAATTGATTTCCTTGGTTTTAAGCCACTCAGCCCGAGGAAACTCATACAGGGACTTTTCAAGGTATTTTAACAAGTAATGAAGACTGGCAAGGTATGAGAGTGTGGCCCTCGGTTCCTGCTGAGTGTGTTTATCTGGTCACTGGTTTGCAGTATATCATTCTGGGTTGGTTTCTGTCTTGTGCATGGGAGATGGGCTGTGTTATCTCACTTCTCACCTGCTACTGCCGATGAGGAAGTATTCCCTATTTGTGGTTCTGATGGACATTACTTCATCAGGGTGGCACTTAAACATTTTCTGCACAGATTGCATCTTTTCCTGGCTGCTTATGCCAACTTCGACACTGGAATTTCTGTTAGATATAGACAGAAAGTATGAACACAGCATACACGCAGCATCAAGAAGACAAGTGACTGATGTTTTCTATTACGATTCAAATGGCATCAAGCTTTAGACATGCTTGATCCACGTTTTGAAGATTCTCCAATAATTTTAGAAAATAAGTTTGGATTTTGGATCTGGCTCATCATCAGTTGAAAATGCTTTGTTCAGCCTGACATTTAATTCCAAAATTCTGATTTCAGATGGATTCTTGTTTCCACAAGTCATGATCTTTTCCAATTTGAGGGGTACATAATTTCTTAAAGAGAAGACCAAAAAAATCCAATTTAAATAATTTCTAAAAACCTGTCTTTATTTAATAAAAGAGTGATTTCAACTCATCTTTCTTGCCCATGAATTAAAGGACTCCAAATTCTTCTTAACTGAATGCTTGCTATTAATTAAAGATTTATAGACTGTACCATACACTGTGAGCTAAGGAACTGTCTTTTACTCAAAGTGCTCGCTATTTTAGCTCCTGTTCAGTTCCAAGTATCATGAATTTGAAGCCTTTCACTCCTCAAATCAATGATTCGAATTTCAGTTTGCACGCGACTTGTTAGCATTTGACTTTACAGCATTTGTTGTTAGAAAAGTTTTCTTGCTTGGATACACACCGATCAAGTTCAATGGCACCACGACGATGATGGTCTTTGTAATAGGAAAGACTAAAGCCCTTTTCCCCACTCTTTGACAGGATGAAAAGCCGTTTCTTCCAAGAGGGCTGAAAAATGAAAAGGTTTTGCATCTCAGTTAAATCTCAGAGGATGAGAAAGGATTTTCAAAGAGCTCAGGAGGCTGGTGGGAGGCTTGTTAAATCCTTGTGAATCCTTACCACGGAGAAGAAAAGCTGAGGAGGTGGTGATTTGATAAAGTAGTCTTGTTTGTAGACTTCATTTTCATAATAAAATGTTAATTGTTTTCCTAATAAAAGAAAGTGAACAGAACTCAGTTTGTTCCCCCATAAATTTCTGACAAGAACTGCTTCCATTGGAAAACATTGTTCATCTCGGGAAGGGTCTGCTTCAGTTATTGAAAAGAGCATTTATAATAGCCCAAGAAAACAAAGGAGCAAGTGTGTGGTTCTTACTCATCCATCACGGAGGCCTTCCTTCCGTGACATTTAGAAGCACCTGTATTCAGCTCACACTTGCTGCCTCGCTATTTCTGGAGTGTGTTGTTGACTCTGGATGTGTGCAGTGGGTTCTCTCCTTTCCCACTGCAGGAACAAGGAATTCCACACCCACTGCCTTTGACTTAACAAACAAATGCAAAAGTACCTGCCATTAAAATGAGGTGACAGAGGTCTAGCACACCACTTGGGACGTCTGTATCCCGTACTGGAGTGCATGGGTTTAAGTCGTGGCTCTGCTTCCAATTCCACCTTCCTGCTAGTGCACATCCTTGAAAGTGGCAAGTGATGACTCAAGTAGTTGTGGGCACGTGGGCAGTGAACCTGCACATGGAAGATCTCTGCCTGTCTATCTTGCTTGTCTTTCTCTCTCCCTCTCTCTTAAATGAATAAAAGTAAAATAAATAGAAATTTAAAAATAAGTAAAATAAGGTGATATAGCATTTGGGGGAAGGGCAAGGGGTAAGTGGAGTTGCTGGGGAAAGAGGGAAGGTAAGAAGAGCTAGAATTACTAGACCCTGACATAATTGATCCCAGCAGTTTTGCTATCAAATCTTGATTCTAATTTCACTTAATATTAAGAAAGTCTACTTTCCCTTTCCATCCTTCCCCCTCCCTCCCCTCCCCTACCCTGCCCTACTCTGCCCTACTCTGCCCTTCCCTTCTTTTCCCTTCCCATCCCATTCGAAAGGCAGAGAGACAGGGTAGCGGGGGTGGAGAGAGAGAGATCTTCCATCTGCAGGTTCATTTCCCAAATGCCTGCAACAGTCCAGGGTAGACCAGGTCAAATTCAGGAGCCAGGAACTCAGTCTGGGTCTTCCATGTGGTTGATGGAGTCAAGTACTTGAATGACACGAGCTGTCTCCTAAGGTGTGTGTTAGCAGAAGCTGGATCAGAATTGCAGTCAGGCCTTGAACAAGCTCTCTGATACGGGATGTGTGTGACCTAGTCAGTGACATAACCACTGTGTCATACACTGGCCTGGGAGCTCTAATTCTTTAGTAAAGGGAACCATTTCCAAAAAAAGGACAAATTAGACCTAAAGCCTGAATGTGAAAACGAAGCAAACTCTTTTTTTAAAAATAAACTTTATTTTAATCGCATTAATTATTTTATTTCTAAATAACAAAGGTACTAAATATTTCTTAGAGACAGTTTTGAAAATATGGAAAAGACTGGCTGGCGCTGTGGCTCACTAGGCTAATCCTCCACCTTGCGGCGCCGGCACACCGCATTCTAGTCCTGGTCAGGGAGCCGGATTCTGTTCTGGTTGCCCCTCTTCCAGGCCAGCTCTCTGCTATGGCCCGGGAGTGCAGTGGAGGATGGTCCAAGTGCTTGGGCCCTGTACCCCATGGGAGACCAGGAGAAGCACCTGGCTCCTGCCATCGGATCAGCGCGGTATGCTGGCCGCAGCGCGCCGGCCGCGCCGGCCATTGGAGGGTGAACCAACGGCAAAGGAAGACCTTTCTCTCTGTCTCTCTCACTGTCCACTCTGCCTGTCAAAAAAAAAAAAAAATATGGAAAAGACTAAAACTCCCTGTAATTCTAACACAAAGAAGCAGTTATCATTTGGGAAAATTCTCTTGAACACTTTTGCCATTTCATTTTCAATAGCATGTGGTTTTGCTTTTGTTTGCTAAGCCAAAGAGCCGTATATGCAACCACCTTCAGGTATTCAAAAATATTGATCAACAATATATATGTGTGCTGAAATTACCTGAGGTCAGAGAAACAACCATTAGAAAATATTAGAGAGAACTGTATTTAGTGTTTGCACAAGGCCAGAAAAAGTGCCTGTTCCCTCCAGCCGGACTGGAACTACTTATAATTTACAGGACATCAGGGAGAGTCTGTGTCAGTCATGAGGGATGGTAGGCCCTAGATGCAGACTGCTCCAGCTCCACCTAACAAATCATAAAGGCAAAGCTTGAAAGAATCAAATTGTTTCCCAGAAACTGAACTGTATCCCAGAACAAAGCTCAAGATCATTAGGAATGCAAAAGTATCTGGCACTCAATAAGGTAAAATTGGCAAAGTCTGGTAATCAATTTAAGATGATCAGGCATGCAGTGAGCAGGAAAACAGGCCATATAATGAGGAGAACAATCAATCAACCAGGACAAATCTAGAACTGCCCAGATGTTAGAATTGGCAGAGAAAGTTATTGAAACAGTGATTATCACTGTATCTTAAAGAAATTAGATGAAGATATAGAAAGGAATCAAAGTGAATCATTATAGATGAAAACTAGTGTTATAGAGAAACAGGAGTATTGAGAGGTTCAGTATTGCAGTGGAAAAGATTCATTGCACTTGAAGACATAACAATAGGGATGTTCAAAATAAACAGAGAGTGAAAAATGAATTAAGGAGCAAAAAGAGTGCCAGGAGACTGTGGGCAATTGCCATATGAAAATAACTGGAATCCTTGAAGTGGGAGAAAGAGACAGAAACAATATCTGAAGAAATAAAAATTTTACAAATTTATAAACCCAAAGGTCCAAGACTTTCAATGAACCTCAAACACAGATCTGTGAAGAGAAGTGCACCAAGACACGTCATAATCAAATTTCTCAAAACCAGCCAGTGGGGAAAAAAATAGATATGTGCAGAACACAGATAGTGACAATGGTATTGATGTCTTGTCAGAAATGCACACAAGAAAAAGTGAAGTCATATATTTAAGATACTGAAGAAAACTATTATTCAGAATTCTGCATGGAGTAAAAAGTTTCTTTCAGAAATGAAGGCAATTTCAAGACATTTTCAGACATGCAGAAGTTGAAAGCGTTCATCATCTTGAAGCTTGCACTAAAGGAAGTCTTGGCCGGTGCTGCGGCTCACTAGGCTAATCCTCCGCCTGCGGCACCAGTACTCCGGGTTCTAGTCCCAGTTGGGGCGCCGGTTCTGTCCCAGTTGCTCCTCTTCCAGTCTAGCTCTCTGCTGTGGCCCGGGAAGGTAGTGGAGGATGGCCCAAGTGCTTGGGCCCTGCACCCCATGGGAGACCAGGAGGAAGCACCTGGCTCCTGGCTTCGGATTGGCACAGCGTGCTGGCCATAGTGCCCATTTGGGGGATGAACCAATGGAAAAAAGGAAGACCTTTCTCTCTGTCTCTCTCTTTCACTGTCTAACTCTGCCTGTCAAAAAAAATTTAATAAAAAAAAGGAAGTCCTTTAGGCAGGAGGCAAGTGATGCCAGATGGAAACCTGAATTTATAAAAGGAATGAAAAACACTGAAATTGCAACTACATGTATAAATGTATCAGATATTTTTCTTATTATTTAAAACATTAAAGGGACCAGCGTTGTGGCACAGCAGATAGAGCCACCGCCTGCAGTACCGGCTTCCCATATGGTGCCGATTGAAGACCAGGATGCCCTACTTCTGATCCAGCTCTCTGCTATGGCCTGGGAAAGCAGTAGAAGATGGCACAAGTCCTTGGGCTCCTGTACCTGCATAGGAGACCTGAAGAAGCTCCTGTCTCCTGGCTTTGGATTGGCCCAGCTCCAGCTGTCACGACCATTTGGGGAGTGAACCAGTGGGTGGAAGATCTCTCTGCCTCTGCCCCTGCCCCTCTGTAACTCTTCCTTTCAAATAAATAAATAAACATTTTTTTAAAAAAGAATTAAAAATGTTGATCAAGCAAAAATAATGACAGTGTATTGTGCAGATGATAACAGGTTTATAAATAAGATGATTTCTAACAGTAACATAGTGTGCAGGAGAGGAAAATGGAGATATATTTTTGTAAATATATTATATGTGAAATAATATAATATCACTGGAAGTTAGACTTTAATATGTTAATCTTTAACATCTATATAAACGCTAAGGCAATGATTAAAATAACAAAACAGAGTTATAACTAAAAGCCAACAAGGAAGATAACATGAACTTATTTTAAAAACTGAATTACTTCAAAAGAAGGCAGAAACATTGGAAAGGAGGAGCAGATAACAAGTGAGACCACAGGACACAAATAACAATATGATACATTCAAACCTGACCATAGCAGTCATCACATTAAATATAAATGATATGAACACTCCCAACTAAAAAGCAGATTGTCAGCTGGACAAAATACAAAAGCCAACTCTATGCTGCCTACAAGAAAAACACTTCAAATATAAACACACAAATAGTTTAAAAGTAAAAGTTTAGAAAAAAAGATACATTATGCTAACACTAATCACAAGAAAGCTGGAGTGGCTTCATTAACATAAATGTAGATTTCAAAGCAAAGAATATTACCGGGGGTAAGGAAGCTCTTTTCATAATAATAAAGAGATCCGTTGATTCTAAGAAGCCATAGCAGTCCTAAATATACACGCACCTAATGACAGACCTTTAAAACACGTAAGGCAAAAACTAGTAGAACTGCATGGAGAAATGGACAATCCACAATTACAACCAGAGATTTAAATACCTTTCTCTCAATAACTAACAGAAAACATAGGTAGAAAATCAATGAGGATATAGTAGACTTGAGCAAAACTATCAACAAACTTGACTTGATATTTCTAGAATAATCCATTTAATAGCAACAGAATATACATCCTCTCAAAGAGACATGCAGCATTTATCAAGATAGACCATATTCTGGACCATAATAACAAGTCTTAATAAATCAAAAGAAACTCAAGTCATATAAAGAATTTTGTCAGATAATAATTTCAAGTCAAATTAAAAATCAATAATAAGGTTCCGTGCGGGGGAAAAGTTTGTGAGATAAATGAATGCTCGATGAAAGAGGAAATTCAGGGGCCAGCACTGTAGAGTAGTAGGCTAAGGC